ACCAGGATGGTCTCGATCTCTTGACCTCGTGATCCACCCGCCTCGGCCTCCCGAAGTGCTGGGATTACAGGCGTGAGCCACCGCGCCCGGCCTGATTGTTTTGCTTTTATTAATTCCTTTTTTTTTTTTTTGGAAATGGAGTCTCGCTCGGTCACCCAGGCTTGAGTTCAGTGGTGTAATCTCAGCTCACTGCAGCCTCCACCTCCTGGGTTCAAGTGATTCTTCTTTCTCAGCCTCCCAAGTAGCTGGGATTACAGTTGTGTAGCACCATGCCCAGCTAATTTTTGTATTTTTAGTAGAGACAGGATTTCACTATGTCGACCAGGCTGGTCTCAAACTTGTGACCTTGGGTAACCTACCACCTCAGCCTTTCAAAGTGCTGGCATTAGAAGTGTGAACCACCATGCCCGGCCCAGTTTTTTTGAAAATGCTCTTCTAAAAAATATTTTTAAAGGTATATAAGAAGAAATGCAAATTTTATGTTTTACTGGTTTAGTGCCATATTTTCATTGTTATTTTGAAAATTATATTACATGAAATTATTACCTGTTACACTAAAAATTCTTTCCATACTGCTAGAGTCATTGGAATTGGGCGCAGTTCTAGAGCAATGTCTTCTCTGCTAAAAAGATATTTTCATATATCAAATTATTGATTTCTTGGCATTTTGTTTTAAGTCAAAATTCTCAAAAGAAGGATATTAGTAGTGATTAGGTCTACTCAACTTACTATGTTGAATTTTGAAAAGTACTCTCCTCCAGATATTTTGAAAACTCTAAACAGTTTTACCATCAGGCCTAGTGCTGTGACTCACATACCTGTAATCCCAGTGCTTTAGGAGGCCAGAGTGGGAGGACTGCTTGAGCCCAGGAATTCAAGACCAAGCTGAGTAATAATAGGAGCCCTTGTCTCTACAAAAAAATTTAAAAAGTTAGTTGGGTATGGTGGTGCTACTTACTCTCTATAGTCCCAGCTACTGGGTAGGCTGAAATAGGAGGATTGCTTGAGCAGAAGAGTTTGAGGTTACAGTGAGCCAAGATTATGCCACTGTATTTCTGGCCTGGGTAACAGAGCCAGACCCTGTCTCGAAAAAAAAAAAAAAAAAAAAAAAAAAAAAAAAAAAAAAAAAAAAAAAGTTTTGCTTTCAAACCTGAAAACATTAAAACTGAGTTTTCATTGCTTTTTTGAAAATTAATTTAAATTTTTATATAACATGAAATTATTATTTTCTACTTTAATTGAGACAACAAAAGGTAACACAGGGAGAAAATGAAAAACAGAGTACCTAAAATGAAAGATACTTTAAAGGCTAGAACTTTAAACATTATATATCTTTATACTTTTGCCTATTATTTCTTATACCCCATAAAGAAAAATATACCTAAATATTTTCAATTTAAATATCTTTAGGGAATGGCCAGGTACGGTGGCTCACGCCTGTAATCCCAGCACTTTGCGAGGCTGAGGTGGGCGGCTCACCTGAGGTCAGGAGTTGGAGACCAGCCTGGCCAACATGGTGAAACCCCGTCTCTACTAAAAAAAATACAAAAATTAGCTGGGCATGGTGGTTCATGCCTGTAATCCCAGCTACTTGGGAGGCTGAGGCAGGAGAATTGCTTGAAACTGGGAGGTAGAGTTGCAGTGACCTGAGATCTCACCATTACACTCCAGCTTGGGCAACAAGAGCAAAACTCTATCTCAAGAAAAATAAAGAAATAAAATGAAAAATAAGTAAATAAATAAATATCTCTAGGGAACAAAAGATCATAGTTTTCCTTATTAAGTTCTACCACTTATCTATAGTTTTTCAAATTTATTTCCTAAAATTTGATAAAAACCATTAAATAGGAAGATCAGAGATAGAATCTTCCTATGTTGCTTAGACTGGAGTGCAGTGGCTTTTCACAGGTACAATTGTAGTACATTACAGCTTCTAACTCCTGGGCTCAAGCGATCCTCCTGCTCTAGCCTCCCAGGTAGCTGAGATTATGGGTATGTGCTGCTATTCCTGGCTTAGCCTACCATATATGAAAAAAATAATCTGGACGGCTGCAGTGGCTCGTACTAGAAATCTCAACATTTTGGGAGGCCAAGGTGGTAGGATTGCTCCCTCCCAAGGCAGGAGGATTGCTTTGGGAGTTGGAAGCATGAAGTTCAAACTCAGCCTGGGCAACATAGGGAGACCCTGTGTCGACAAAAATGAAAAAATTAGCTGGGCATGGTGGTGCATACCAGCTACTCAAGAGACTGAGGTAGGAGGATCACTTGGGCTTCATACTCATCACTATTTTTTCTTTCTTTTTGAGATGGAGTCTCACTCTGTAGCCCTGGCTGGAGTGCAGTGGCTCCATCTCGGCTCACTGCAACTTCCGCCTCCTGGGTTCAAGCCACTCTCCTGCCTCAGCCTCCTGAGTAGCTGGGACTACTGTAGGTGTGTATGCCACCATGCCCAGCTAATTTTTTTTGTATTTTTAGTAGAGATGGAGTTTCATCATATTAGCCAGAATGGTCTCGATCTCCTAACCTTGTGATCCACTTGCCTTGACCTCCCAAAGTGCTGGATAACAGGCGTGAGCCACGACACCCGGCCCGTGATCACTTGGGCTTCATAGGTTGAGGCTGCACTGAGCCATGATCGCACCACTGCACTCCAGCTTGGGTGACAAACCGAGACCCTCTATCAAAAAAAGAAATAAAAATAAACAATAGTGTCTTTTCTAAGCGAACATTTTCTTTTTTTCTGAAAGTATTTCATTTTCTGAGTTGTAGTCATTTGGTTCTCCCCTCATGTTCATCATGATATGTAAACCCTTTTAAAGTGGTAAAATATTGAGTTGTCTATATTGAAATGAATAATTTATAACAGGTTTATTGAGATAATTGTCTATCAGCTTTTGTGTTTTTATTATCTTCTTCCTGCATTTGACTCTTTTGCCTAGTGTTTTTAGATTTGCAGTGCTGACTGTTTAACGTATAGGGTAGCATAAGTCTAAAGAATTCTATTTACAAGAATTAAAGAATAGCTTGTATTATTTTTCATGATATTATTGCTGTATGAGTATATAGTATGTATCTTTTTACCAAGGTTTATATGAACCAGAAATTTCCATAGTAATTCTTAAAAATGAGCTTCCCAAACATTTTCCCCTTTGTGCAGTCTGTTGTCAGGACATTTAATTCTATTGTCAGAAGTTTGAATCTCTTACTGTAAGTAATAGTGTTGTAAAACTTATTTGTTAGAATTGTTTTTATTTTTTAATAGGAAATTTTACATGGTAAGACAAATGTATTTAGGTTTTAAACTTTACATTTCTTGGATAACAATTCTTAAAGCACTGTACTTTTTTCTGCAGATTGATCAGACAGCTGATGCAAGTTTTTTGGGCTGGGTTATTGCTTCATATAGTCTTGGCCAAATGGTAGCGTCACCTATGTTTGGTTTCTGGTCTAATTATAGACCAAGAAAAGAGCCTCTTATTGTCTCCATCTTCATTTCCGTGGCAGCCAACTGCCTCTATGCATATGTCCACATCCCAGCCTCTCATAATAAATACTACATGCTGATTGCTCGTGGATTGGTGGGATTTGGAGCAGGTAAGTTTGTATGTATGTTTGGTTGTGTCAAATTCACATTCATTCAGACATTTATGCTCACTTTCACCTGGTGTTATCCCCTTTTAGACTCATATTTTACAGTCAACATACATGTCATTGTAAACAAATATTTTTCCTATCATTCTACCTTTGCTCATGATGTTCTCATTACCTATAGTTTCTCTTCTGTTCCTATCATTCTTCATCCTTCAAGATTCAGTTCAAGCCAGGCATGGTGGCACTATAATACCAGCTA